CACATCAAATTCAATACCTCACTGCAAAACTACAACAGAGAATGTCAATCGGCAACCCGAAGACAAACCAGTGCCTGGCTGTACTTGTACAGAACAGCATCGCCAGCATTGTGTACAGTACGTATTGTTTGTATGCTGCGTGTGTGTGTGTGTGTGTGTGTGTGTGTGTGTGTGTGTGTGTGTGTGTGTGTGTGTGTGTGTGTGTGTGTGTGTGACAGGATAGGATGTTCATATATATACATATAGTTGTCAATTATTCATTTCATTCACCATCACCCATTTGTATATATTCATTCGTCCATTCATTCCCTCACTCACTCATTCAGTCATTCATTCATCCACCACTACCACCACCAGCTGTCTGCGGCCACCAATCAATGGAGAGGTGGACCCTGGAGGAATACAATGGCAGCCTGTATGGAGAGGAATACGCCGATGAGGATGATGATGATGTTGGAGGTGGTAATGATGATGGTGATGACGTCATCGGCGGTGGTGGTGATGGTGGTGATGTCGTTGACGGTGGTAAGGGTAATGATAATGATGCCGGGGCTAGTAGACGTAGGGAGGATCATAATCATGATCGTCAAAGTGGCTCTCAAGATTTATAAGGGGACCTTGACCTTGATCTTGACCTTGACCTTGCTTACTGCTGCTGCTGCTTCTGATTGGTCAGGACAACAATAACAATAATAATAGTAGTAATAATAGTAATAATATTTACAACAATATCTATTGTAATAATAATAATAATAATAATAATAATACTAATAATAATAATAATGATAATGATAATAATAATAATAAAACATCAACAACATCAGCATCAAGGAATGATAACTATTGCAGCTTTATTATTATCAACAACAATAACAGCAACTACAATGACAACATCATCAACAACAACAATAATAATAATATTGATAATTATAATAATAATGAGAATATTCTTTTATTGGCCGAAAAGATAGAATCCAAATGAAATCAATTGAAAATTATTAATTAGATGTAGGATTGTAAACAAATAACATGTGAAGTCTAATTTACGATCCTCTCCTCCCAAATTATAATGAGAACTCTTTTTCTTCAAAGCCAGTGGAATAAATAATTAAAACTATGAAATGGTGAAATAATGAAGTGTCAATATAAAACCACTATGCATGCTCGATTCAAAATTAAAGTACAGAGCGGTGAAATGTATTTAAATTTGTATCATAAATTGTTTCTGTCGCAATAAATGCTGTTTGATAACCTTATAACGGTCTCTATCAGCTCATCGTTAAAAGAAACCGGCCACATAATTTTAAACAATGAAAGATTTTCTTTTTTTAATCTATTTTATTCACAAAAAAGTGAACGAGTCAGCCTAGCAATAAATGCTTATCTAAGGTTGACTCGCATAAATTAAAGTTATTACAGAAACCAACTGGAGATATTTCAAAAGTAATAATAGTAGTAATAATAATAATATAATAGTAATAATAATAACAATGGAAATGTATTTGGTCTTTTACCCGCCAAGTTATGAAATCAAACGGTAGAAAAGATGGTAAATGTCTTATGGAATGAATTGTAATAAAATTTATTTGTAAATTTACAATAAAATAAATAAAATGTACTAATATTTTGCAACGACATCAGTAGCAACTGCAACGACAACATCAACAACAGCAACGACAATAATAATAACAATAATAACAACAACACACGTTTAGACGACATTTTCCCCGAAATCGGGTGTTGCCGTTTGGCTACCTATGATGAAACCGAAATACCCCTCGACGCCATCCACATCTGTCACTCGCCTCAGTATCACGCAACCCCGCTTTCACCCTGTCCTTCTCCACCTGCTCTTTCCATCCCAATCGCGGACAACCCCTTCCTACCACTCCTTCAACCTCGAACTCCAACGCTCGCCTAATCCCGACCCTTTCACCCCTTCTCAACACATGTCCATACCACCGCAATCTCGATCTCCTTATCAATGTCACAATGTTCTCATTCAGTCCCATCATCGACATCAGCTCTGTACTACTCCTCCTATCCTTCACTTTAACCCCACACATCATCCTCACCATAGCTCTTTCAGCCCTCTGCAGTACACTTTCCTCCTCTCTCCTCAACACCCAAGTTTTACCACCATATACCATCGCTGCTCTCACACATGCTTTATATACCCTCCCTTTCATCTCCACTGACCATTTCTTTCCACACAATACCCCACCCAGCTCCCTAAATTTCATCCATCCCACACGAACTCTAGCCGTAACTGCGCTCAAACATCCAAACATAACAACAATAACAACAACAATAATAATAATACTGATGATGATAAGACAGTACAAATTTAAA